AAATGCACTTTGCCACTGCTCTAAAATGGAACATGAGGCAGCTGGGGGATGACTCAAGAGCCAGGCTGCCGCTTAAATCTGAATATAGAGTTCAGCTCTTCCCAGTCAAACCTTTCCTGCGTTTGCAGGAGACACTTCAAGACAGTTCACGTCTATGTAGGCAAAAAAGTTCACAATATACTCTTTAAAAGACTGCTGATTCTGGATCCTCTCTGTACTGAGTAGAATTCCCTGCACAAAATCATTACATCATTCTTGCGGGGACTAAAGGGGGAAAAAAGCTAGAAGCAGTTAAAGAGGGAGGGAGAGAATACTTCTGCATGGCAACAAGCAGGGGAGTCTGTGCTCTGTAAGAATGCAAACTTGAGACACTATGACCTCCAGTGCATCTTGACTAAATATAGAATCAACCACTGGTATTAACTGCAGACAACACTGTGCTACTTAGCCAGGTAGATTTCATTATGCTTGAAACAATTAGGCCCTGATTATTCTCTTTCCTATATATTTTTCTCCATAAAAAGAAACTCACCCTGACGGTTGTCTCCACAAGGCCTCCTCTTGGTCTCTTTTTTGGCTGCTTGGATAATCAACAGGAGGATGGACATTCCACTCACCATGAGCAATATCAGACAAATAAGGATAAGCGATAAGGACCCTGGAAGAAAAATAGAAGAATACCCTAAAAAAGATTCATGGTTCTAGCTGGAGTTTCCATGGTTTTCCAGCTTCAAAAAAATGAACGTAGAACTCCTGAACCACAACGCCTAAAAGCCCCAGCTGCCAAACAGACTAGCAAAAACCCTGGAATCCTGTGCGTGTCCCACTGAAAGACTGTGGAAAATCCAGATATGCTTTCTGAGAAAGTATGGGATTTCATTTCCAATTAAATCAGTTTCAGGTTAAAATTCCTGACCAGCTCTAGTAAATAGAGAGACTAGACTTGGTCATTCCCTGTCCTTACCCCAGTTAGTCTCTGTGGGGCTGTTTGCATCCGGGCAAACGAAAGGAATCACACTGGGTCTGGACGGTGACAACACTGCAGTCGACATATTATTCTTGTGGCCAGTGGTGGAAAGATTCAAAGCAGGTGTTGTACTCTGAGAGGGAGCTGGCTGTGTGACATGGTTGCTGCAAACAGCATCATCTGTTCTCGTCCCTGGTCGAAGAGTCGTCTTCCCAAGAACACTACAGCTAGAGATATAAAATCAGTCAGTGTAGTTTGTCAAACAGTCACAGCAATGACTTCATAAGTGATCTCCATGGAACAAGCGAATGAACAGTACAATCCTTGTTTTATCAGTGCAAACTCAGGCTTCACCTTTCCTAGATTCTACAGATATGAGGAACAAGTACACTAATTGAAGTTATTACTGGAAAAAAAACCTGACATTGTTTTCCTTAGCCTCTGTACATTTAACAGCCTTGAAGCACAGCTGCATTCGGGCAAGGGAACTTTTTGCTACAGAAACAAAACATACAGACCTTTAAAAAAAAAAAAAAAAGGCCAAGAATACTGTTGTTGCCACAGGTGAAGACAAACAGATGCTTCAAATCAGTACACAGACTGCTCAAGGTTCCCGAGAGTCACAAGGAACATGGTTTCATCACACCTGCTGCAGCTTTACTCTGCACACCATGATTTGGGCATTAACTGCTATAAAAGTAAATCCAGAATTTTGCTCTGAACATGTGTGGATCAGGGATACATACTTGGTCCAACGTTGACAGTTTTCATTTCCCCCTTTGGAATAAAACCCTTCAGGACATGGTGAACATACTGGAAAAAAAGAAAGGCAGAATTTGAGTTCAGTTAGCAACATAACTGTATGACAACTACACAGTAACTACACTAATAGCTGACACGAGTAGTCTAGCTTATAGAACAGACCCAACAAAGCCCACATAGCCTCTAGAAACCATAGTCAGAAGTAACAGAACATGCTCAGTGGTTCATTTTAGTCTGCAACTGCCAAGATTTCCTGTTTTCTCTACTGGCTAACTATGGACATTAACAAGGAGACCAGTAAGATTTCTGACAGCTCAAGAATCACAGAACACCAGTTTGCACAACTACCTGACTATAACACTTGTGTGGCAAGATCAACTCGACAAATAACAGCAGCTTTTAAACTAGAAATAACAGCCATCTCATCTGAAGCGGGGGCAAGAGTTTGGAGAGTCTGACACATCGCTAACTTACCGCTTCCCAGTGTATATCTGACATCTGGCATGTAACCTGCAACACACAGGCAAATTCTGTCAGAGGTCTTCTCACACTTCTTCACTTCCACGCTGCCCTTCCCTGGCAACAACAGAACAAAGGGTAAGCAAGAGAAAAGAAATAATTTAAGACAGAAAAAAAATTAATTACTCAGTGCCTATCTGTTTTGTGTAGAAACAACTGCAGAGAACAGAGTTTATTAACAATTCTGAAGACACCAGTTTTCAGGCAGTACAAGCCTGCTTCCCTCTGAAGGCTCTACCATCAGTACCAACCAGGAGATACCAGCTACTGAAACGATAACCCAGGCTTTGGATGTGGTCATCTCAAGTGACAGGCTTTAGAACATCAGCCTTTGAGGAGCACGCAAAGATAAGAGAGCATATGAAGACTGACTGCCTCCCAAATTCACATCAAGAAATGGCCACTATACAACTGACTTACTAGTGTTGCAGATTGTACAACTCTTGCAGAAGTTGTGGTTGTGCTCACTGCTAAAGTACTCGTCTTGACAGGGTGCACAGATTGTGTCCGTTGTCGCAGTGCAGCGGCTTCTCATTCTTTCACCTAAAACAAAGACCACTAGAAGGAGGAACTGATTGATATCAGAAGGAAACCCCCTTCATTTTCATGCATTAGAATGAAAAAGTGCCCAGAAAGTGACAGTTCCACTTACAACTGCGGCTGAAAACATTCAGCAGAATTAGACATGCCAGAATACCTTAAATTTTTGACCCACAGCGTCACTATAAACTAAGCAGCTAAAATGGGCTAGCCAGGGCCTGATGACTTGCTGAGAGTTCTGGCAAGGTCCAAAATGATTCTCCCAGTGGGTTCCAAATATCACTTCTCCAGACCACCTTTTCATATGGTTTAGACATCAGTTTGCAGCCAATGCCATTTAGGAAAAAACCCAGGCTTTTAGTGTAACAATAGGTCTGATCTCCAGTGTAATAAAATGACAGATCCTGCTTTCCCTTATGGAATAAATCGTGCAATTCAACCCAAACTAATCCCAAACAGGTACAAAAGATGGCAATGGACTGCTCAGGTTTGCAGAAAATTAATTAGCGAAGCAGTTAAGAATAAATGTTTGTAGTATCTTTCTGTTGGTATTCTGAAGCCCATTAGGCATGAAAGAATGCGGTTGTATTTTGATATGTATCTGTACTGGCACCCAACATCAAAGATGTTACTAGCTCCGTTTCACGAACAGCGAGACAGAGCGCAAGATGTAAGGCAGGCATCTGTTACTATTTCAAACAGTATGTGTGTATCACACGTTGCGTCTAGAAAGAAGTTCTGAATGCTTGCACCCGCAAATCCAAGCTGTGATGCACAGCACTTACACACAGGTTCAGCCTGATGCACCAGGACGACAAGGTTTGCGAGCAAAGAGACTTGCCCAAAGTGAAACAGCAAATTAGCAGTGGATTTTGGAGAAGGAGTCAGACATGATCATTCTATCTCACTACCTTCTCTCCACACAGCACAGGCTGCAGAACTACAGACAGCTTTAACAACTACAGTTTTTACAGTTGAGCTTCAATACGTCTTTTTTCTCACAGACTGTTTCTTCCATTTTTTTTTCTCCATTTTCCTCATTCTGTAGGTGAATAAGCACTAAGTATCTTGCTCACTCTAATTTTCTCTGCATTTTATTGAGTGCTACCAGTGGCAAAATACAGATTTTTAGTGACCACATATATGCAATACACTTCTGCATTTTTACTATCTACACAATCAGGAAGAGACCATGAAGAAATATATCCCTAACAGCAGCAGAAAGATTTGCTAACAATGCAAAAAACTCAGTAAGTTCTTTCACCATAAGGAGGAACAAAAAACTTTAGAGAAAAAGGAGTATCTGTATCTGCATACAAGTATGCCTTTCTCTAAGTTTAGGAACACTCAGATTTAAATAGTTTTGAGAATAATGCAATAAACTGTCTCAAGTCTTATTAAAGGTTGAATTTATTCCAATTAGCATATTTGAAGATAATAATACTGCATCAGTTCATACCAACATCCAGCAAAGATTACTTACCAGGGGCACAGTCCTTGCAGCATTTTTCACCGAAAGGATATTGATGTTCTTTGCATTTCAATCCCAAGGAATGGCTAACAGCGACTGCCAGCAGCAAGAACAAAACAGTAGAAAAATGTGAGTAAAAACCTACAGCTACCATAATGCAGCCCTACTGTCCCAGCAAAATTTTGACAGTGGCAAACTCTTGGAGAAGTGATTCTAAACCACTGGGGACCAGAACAAATTCATATGTCAGTTGCTGGGAAATTCCCAGCGTGTTCTCCACGCCCTCATCCTTTTTCCCACACCCCACAAACCTATTTTTGCAGTTCAAAACGTTCATAGGCAGAAAGACAGCATGCTGAACAGCATTATGAAAAGATTTCTATTCCTAGCCTTAAAACAGAGTGCCTCCAGCCAGGTACATACCTCTATACATAGCGTTAAAAGCACAAACCTTGAATGCCAGGAGAACTAGAAGAGAGAATCCCTGTTATTGTAAAGAGGAGTATTAAAGCAACACAGGGGTAATGCCTGAAAACCTTTACGGATGAGAGCCACAGGTAAAATGAAACATAGCCTACACAGGCTTGCTCCTTAAAAGGCGAAGTAGAGACAGATTCTCTCCCCTTAGCCTCACGGTAACGGTAGACCCGTGACTTTTATTGCTGCATATAAAACAACACTGACTAACCATTTCTCCTCTCAGAGAGAGTGCAGAATCGCACATCATCAGTCATTTTGATATTGCCCTCAGGAGCTAGCAAAAGCTACAGATGAGAAGCGTTTGCAGTCTCCATTTCGACTCTTTAACATCAGACTTCAATTGCCATTGGAGAAAAGGAAGCTCCTGGCTCCAAAACAGAGACTATGTGTCACCCCTACCATTTGATCACACCAGGAATTACTGCATTTAACTTTCCAGGCTCATTATTAAAATCCTACTAATTTGATCTTAGTGATCTAGGATCTAAATTTTAAATCTAAATTTTAGGTCTTCCAGTTCTAAGGGACTTCAGCAACTCTTACACAAAGGCCCAAGCAAACAAGACACCCTACAGGAATCAAAAATGTTTTATTCATGTTAGTTAAAAAACATAGCCGGACCTCCCAGACAAAGCAGATCTACAGTCAATTTCCATCTAAATGCAAAGGAGATTTGATTGGAACAGTACATTTGGAATCCCAACTAGCCTGCAGTATTTGGGAGGACTGAACTGCAATATTCTGGCATGTTTTATCCAGAACTGCTGCTTTTCATTTCTTACATTTCTGTAAGATTGTTAAGAGTGGTAGGGGAAACAAAAGCGAGGCAAAACCATAATTATTTTTCTACTTCTCCTATTTTCCAAGCATTTTGGAAAATAACCTCTATGGAAAAGTTATACCTTAACCCGTTGTTTCCAAAAGGGAGCAAAGTTGAGAGAACAAATAAACCATACTAGCTGAACTTCAACTACCTCATACTCAGTACCTGCCTGCAGGAAATATCCAAACCTCTTCCCACTGTAGTATCACACTCCGTGCCATTCAAGTGCCTTTACGTCTCACGACTCAGTCATTCCCTCAGCAATATTTAGCCAGACTTTTTTCCACCCCAACTCTCTTTCACAAATGGTACCAGACTTTACCTGTTCGGTAAGTCAATTATTCTTCAGTTAAGAAACTGAAAATGCAAAGTACTATGATGTTCACAAACAACGTTCGGTTAAAATTCTGCTATATATATTTAAACTGAAAACTCTGCAAATACTAGAGTGACACAGAAGCACCGATATTCTTTTTAAGGATACTTCAATATAAACGCTCATTTAATAAAAACAGTTAGCCACGTACCATCTTGAGAACTCAACTTTTACGTATGGCATCCAAACCAAGCATGGAACTCATAACCAGTGCTTAACGAAAGGCTGCAAAGAAAAAGTCACTCGATTCCTTAGGGATTACGGGCGAGTAAGGGTTCACCTATAAGAAAGGACCTACAAGAATCTGAGAAAGATTGTGTGCATACCAAATACTTAAATATTTTTTTAAAATAAATAAGGCTATGGACAAACTAGAATAGTTTGAACTTCGAAAATTCCAAGACAGGAATAATCTCAGGTACCTCCAAATCTCACCATGCAGTCCACTTTATCCTTACAGCTCTTAGTTAACACGTGATCCTGATTTCTGGCAGAGAAAGACAAAAAACACATTCAGGTGCAGAAGTCCATTTGTACATTAAAAATGGATTTTTCACAGTTGTTCCTCAAGTTTCAGATTTATCAGGTGTGTGACGAATTCTGCAACAACAGAACGTCCTTTCACATTTTTGCAGTTGCTAGGGATTTTTCAAGGGATTCCATCTCACATTATCAGAAGGTTGAACTAAGATAGCATATGTATAACCTTTGCCTCTACTGACAGTTATAGTTCTAAATTTCATCATCGTATTCCAGCTGCTCAAGAATCCTTCTGTAAACTATATCTAAACTAAATTACTCTAAATTAAATTAATCTAAATTAAATTAATTATATGTAAATAATTGAATTGTGCAAACAACTAGCGTATAATGCAAGAATGCAGTCAGATCATTTATACAATTATCAACAAATATTGTTAAAACTTTTGTTTTAACTAGACTGTGAACAACCACATCGCAGAACTGGATGTTTAAATGTATAATTTTGTGTTAGTTCAAAACTGACAAGCCTAAAAGCAGCAACATTTCCCAAGCATGGAGAAAAATATTTAATGAAAAAAGATATGTGTATATAAAAAGACTCTGATACAAGCCATTTAACAAAAAAAGAGAGACGAAATACTGAAACAGAAACACTGCGATACTTATATTTACATTATATTAAGAGAATAAATTTAATCAAATATAACATCTCACTTGGATTTTCAGGCAACCCTTCAGAAAGAGGGGTTTTTACAGTAAAGATGGAACCAGAGTAAAAATAAATTTTCTATTTTAGACAGTAGTGGATATGACCCTTGTGTTGCAAGATGCTTTCAGAGATTACCCAAAACCAGACTGATTAAAAAGCTTCCCGAGTGCTGACGGTATGGTGCTCTGGCAAAAGCAGTTCAAAAGCAAAGCCTGTATTTCCCCTCAGCTTCATCATTCACGGAGGCAAGTAATGATACTATTTTTAACAATGAATTTTAGTTAAGTAGTAATCATACACCTAGGTGAATCCCATTGCTCTGTCCACAAAGAAACCTCCCCCATTGTTTCATTTTAGAATGAACTTTGATTTTTTTTTAAGACAGAAGCAATCTCAAGTCTCTCACGTTCCCAGTTCAGCTGCAAACACAAAAGCTGTCACACTATAACCAGTTTTCTTTTTAAAATAGATGCAGAAGGGTTTCTCTGTAATATTTAAAATAAGTTATTCCCCACAGCTCCTAAAGATGGCTCAGCGAGGGAGAACTTGTATTAAATTCTCAACAATACATAAGTACATTGAGATTCCTTGAAAAAAAAAATTCTGGAAGATCAGCCGTGTATGGATATTCTCATGGGGTCAGAACACATGTATCTGAACCGCAATCCCCTTCACAAAAGCCAACAACTTTCAGTGTTACTTGCAATTTCCATGGATCAGCAGCTATGAGGGGAACAAGAAGTGAAATATTTCAGAAGCCTCTACCAAACGGGATTAGCCAAAAGCAGCTGAAACTTCAGCTGTATTCGCTGTACAAACTAGGGTGAACTGATGGAGTCCAGCACCTCCCCATTATTTATGGACTTTTTTCCCCCCTCATACTGAAGGCAAGAGAGCTGTGGTTCTTATGCATGGACGGAAGTTTTTTTCCTAAGTCTAGGACAACACACTGTAGGCTTATAACACAGATAGCAGCAAAGAAACTTTCTGTCTGTTTAGGGGTTGGATTTTTTTTTGTTTGTTTTGTTTTGTTTTTAAAGCAAGAAAGGGCTTCAGAGCTCTGGAAAAACGAGCAGGATCAGAACTCCTCGTGGACGTTACGTGCATAGTCCATAAGCTTGCTGCCTGTGAAGTATTCACTGTATTTCAGGATCTCTTCCAGCTCTAAGTGATGGTTTTGGTTTTCATCTGCTACTGCTATCATTTGCTTCGCTTCATTTAGGGCATTGTACTCATTCATAGGATCCATATATTCCTAAAACAAGCAAGAAAAGAATTTTCAATCACTAAACACATTTTCACGCATCAGAATTACAAACCTTAGCTCTGTGTAAGCTTCAGCAATCATGAGACCAACATAAGCCATGCCAAAGTGAACATAAGTCACAGAAAAAGGTGTTAGCATATTTTTAACAGGCTTACATTTCTCTCTCAGTTATTTTTCCATTCACTGGTTCCTTGGCTGCTCTAATAGAAACTTTTTTTTAATATTTTCTCAGCTTATTCCAGTGTCTGTAATAAAAATATTTTTGACATTTGCAGATTAAACTCACTATCAAATCTGGTGGGTTTTGTGGAGAAATATCTATTCAAAATTAAAAAGTGGCACACTATCGATTTCTGTGATCTAAGGAAAAAAAAGCCAGAAAGCCACAAGCCTCTTCCATTGGCCACAAAACCGCCACTACTACAGGGTGCAAAATACTTGATGTTATTTGGCAGACTCTTCTGCAAACCAAAGTCCAAAAAGTTCACAAACCAGGATCCACACTCGAAAATAATAATTTGGGGGTTTTTTTAGAAAGGAAAACACTCTGAAAAACAAGAGATCTCTGCTATTTTCTAGGCTACTGGGGCCCCAGCGTTTGTTGGTCATTGGGGTTTTTTGGTTGTTTTTTTTTTTTTTTTAATGAATATATAGGTTGTCAGTTACTCCTGTTGTAACTGAAAGCGTGACTCACTGTCCCATTAACCAGTGCACCTAATGAAGTCTGTAAATTGCTTTCACCTACTCCAAATCCATACCAGTGTCTATGTGACAAAACACCCTAGAATCATACCTGTGAGTAAGCGTTACGCTAGGAAAACTCCCCCTCCTCTTTAACAAAAAGCGTAACAACCCCATCTGCAAGCACTATAGAACAACACTATAACCCAAAGTTTGTAAAGCAGTCACACACACCATACTGTTAATTCAGATATTTTTGGACTTCATGTTCTCTAAAGCAGTTTCAATCCTGTATTTAAAAATGAACTGTTGGTTTTTAAAAAACTAGAACTAACTATTTGAGGAAGCTTTACCTCCAGCTCTTCCATTGTGACAATACCATCATGGTTAGCATCGATGACCTCCTCAAATTCCTTCCTTCTGTCTTTTACCCAGTCATCATCAATATCTTGAGCTTGCTGGTTCTCTACAGTGCCAACAGGTAATGAAATGAACTCCGAAAGGGTAAGTTTCTTATCTCCATCTTGATCTACAAGAGAAGTACATAGTAACTCAAAAGTATGTGCTTAATGCCCATTAAAAATGAGAAAATCCTTCATGTCAGAGATGTCATTGGTACAGTCTGGCTGGTTTTGGCAGTCCACAATCCTGATCCCAGCAGAATAGTTGCCATTTATATCTTTGGTTAGCCAAAACTCTCTGTATTATGGTACATACAGAATGTTTTAGAAGGCTAAAAACACACATACTCATCAATATACTAAACAAAAAGAATTGTACTGGCCCTGAAGGACACATCAGGTGGCGAGCTGGGCTTTTTTTTTTTTAATTGTTGTTTATTTTTTCAATAATCTACTGCAACAGAAATTTTCTTACAGCTGTATCCAGTCTTTCCTTGTATAATCATTCAGGTAAATTAACCCTCAAAAGACTGTGTACTGGAGTTTTTCTGTCTGTGCACATCACACGCAAGCATTACTGGAAACTCTTCGTATTTATTAAGCGAACTACTACCAAAGTCATAGGTCTCTTTCTTTTTTTAATCCAGGTGTTCTAGCAGTTTTAAACATGCATCACTATTGATTCAACAGGAAAAAAAAAAGTGTGTCAATACTTATGAATTTAAAAAAAGATATTATTTTCTTAGAAACCTCAACCATTTGTTTCCGCTTTCATGACTGTACATCACGATTCTTACATGGCTGCTGTAGTGGGGAAGTACAAAGCAATTAATGCCTTCCTCGTCACATCAGAAGATGTGTAGAACAGAGCAACCAAGATGTACCAACAATTCAGATTGACCCATGACAGTGCCATGACCCAATAAAATGGTTTGCAAGTAACAACTCCCAAGAAATGTATTTTTAAATGGCATACCCAAATCTCGGATGATCTCTTTCACCATGAACTTCAGCATTCCCCTACTATGCTCTGGATGAAGAAAGGACAAGAATTCTTCTTCATTCAACAACAGATCAGGAGGCGGGTTGTCAGCTTGGTACCACCGGTCCTTCAGGTTATCTAAAACTTCCTGTGCTAGAAATTTAAGAAAAAGAATAAATAGAAAAGTTCTTAAAATACACCTTCCCCTGTCACTCGACTGCTTAAACAAGAATGTTCTATGAACCAGTTATTTCACAGCTCCCAGGGCAAGTGGGTGCTGAGGGGAAACAGTGCAATGAGTTTCATCTAGTCTGTGCTGTTAACCAAACAACTGAACTGAAATTAGGAGATGAAAATAAAGATTTAACTACACCTGTATCAAAACATCAACGTATCAAGTGAAAAGCACTGTCCTGCCAGTATTGTTAGCTGGTTCTGCAGGAGGTACGAACAATCCCACTTTGTTCAGTACTTGTTCTCCTTTCTTATTTTCATATTTGGAAGCCCACTATCAACAGAAATCTTCCACTTCCCTGAATACCAGTAGTACCTTTCTTCTGAATGAATCATTTTTGTTTTCTGCTTCAAACCAGTCCTGCACATTGAAATAGCCAAAACATTCTTCAAAAATATTCTTCGGATTCACTACCTCCACGTATTGCAATTTTGACATCACACATCTAGTTAATATCTACAAGAAAGGAATATGTCAGCCAATTCTTTTCCTACGCAAATAATAACCATAGAACAACAAACCCTTTAACATTTAACTTGTTTTCTTCTAAGACCGAATAACAGGACTATCATTAAATCTAGAAAGACGTTTCTGATTTTACTAGTGCTCAGGCTAACAGTACCACCTCGGTTTATTCAGCTCTACCGCACTTGTGAAGCCTGCCACAGGTAAGAAAATTTTCTTTGCCAACCCAGCAGTTCCAAGCAGAATCAAAGGGACACACTTTATTACTCCAATGTTACAACACTCAACTTTTTTTTTTTTACCCTGTCAAAGGCTCAGAATTTAAAAGAACTGCCTACCCAGAGAGAACTTATATCCTTTGACTCAGATACATCATCCAGTATTTCAGCCTAAAAACATCATTTCTTGGAACAATGAGAGAGTTAAGAGAGTAGCTCTCCAAAAAAAGGTTTGGAAACATCAAGAACAGATGCTAAGCTAAGCACCAAGAAATGCGTTTAGTTTTCAGCTACTTAAGCATACGAGTATTTATTTCTCCTTTTAGCTACCTTGCCTTTTCTGTATCAGAAAGCATTCTGACTTCAGACCTAAACCCTGCATATTTCACTATAATTTACTAAAGGGAAATATTTTTGCTGCAAGGATGTCCTGGGTTAAGCAGAGACAAATGCAACTTGAAGTACACGTGTACGAACAGGTATACATCAGCACCAAAATCACTTCACATTTCCACTTCTTTCATTTCATCTTCCACCATGCAGACAAGCACTTTAAGTGATTTTTTTTCCTAAACCCAACTGAGAATCATAATCTGTACACGAGTTTCCGCTAAAACCACGCATCTGATCTGAAGAAAAACCACCCTGCAACACACAACATGAACGTGATGTGCACCTAGTGCTCCTGAACATAACCAAACAGGAAAAAAATACCTGTATAGAGTATTCTTTCTCTGGTGTAGGCATTTTCTAAATGACACACTGGAAAAAATAGTCTGTGGCTCACCCTGCTATATGCAAAATATACTAACAAACACAAATCTGAAGCATTTGCTTTTCATAAGTTTTAAAAACACCCTGAAAGACTACAGTGTTCTGCTAATAAACTTTTTAATTTAATAAACCATCTTAAATAGTTCCTGCATGCTGCGTTACAAGAGGAAAAAACAAACCAAATTGTCACTTCTGCATTTTTGAACTGCTACGTGCAATTAAGTTTTCAGTGGATTTTTTGTGAAGAGTCAAGAAATCCTTCAGAGTCTTAATAAGAATCTCAGGGCACGTTTGTAATTGGCAAGTTTTAGTTCTATCAAGGACACGAGTAAATACAGAAAAATCAAATCACTTGCTTTGGTTTTCCAGTGGAGCCAGCCACAAATGTTAGAAGCCACAAGCCAACCTCCCTTCGCCCACCTTTCTTACTCAGTCTTAAATGAAACTCAACTGTCAGTCATCAGTTGAAACTGTCGTTATCTGCATTAATTAAATAATGTCGTGTCCCCAGTGTTGGCCTGGCATCCAAACTGTAGTGTGCTTCAACCCAGATCTCAGAACATGCCTTACGATCCACACGTTTGGTTATTTTTTATTGTACAGACTGAAAAGGAGTACTTCTATACTGCACTACAGTATGAAAATAGGTGTTGCCTATCATCCTCAGGAAGCGGTAGATAACTCATTTGATTTTCCCAAACAAGGCTTGTTACCTCGGTAGAAAAATGATTATGTACACACTTCCCTTATTCAGCAAATCTTTTATCTGATGAGCATTCCCGTAAACTGTAGCTAACCACACTGCTGTAGAACACGCTGCACAGGTGTTTTCCCTGCCATCAATTTCAAAGGGCCATTTGCATTTTAGTTGCTTTTTGATAAATGGAAAATATAACATAACCCACTTTTATATGACTAATTCCTGCAAGGAAAGGCTAAGGCTTTGTGTTTTACTTAACAGTAAATTTAAACACATTGAGCTGGGCATGGGGCGGGGAGATTACTCTGTTAGTTGCCCTGTTTATATCAAACCAGATTGAAATTAAAGTTTCAAAAATAATAAGGAAGAAATGATCAATCTGTCTCTACAGAGAAGTTAGATGAAACATGAAACAACTCTTAGGTAATCTTCAGCTATTAATTTCGAGTAGGCTTTGCCATGCCTGAAAACGTACCTACTTAAACACCACATTGTTTGGTAGCACCTACACCCCTCCTCAATTTCGGAACAGGAATGGTGTATAGCAGCTCCCTTTCATTTGGGGTAACAGCAGAGCTGGTTCCTGCACTGACAATGCGGTGGTCCACAGACAACATATGCCTGACACATTTTAGCAGACTGTTAAACAAAAACTACTCAAATAGGCAGTAACAAACATCCAATCAAGATTTTTCAGTGTTAAACACTTACATCAAGAGTGTTGGGAAGGCAGATTTGGGTTGGAAAGAAATCCAGTATTTCTGTCTTATGATTTACACATCCTACTTCTGCTACTTTCATCTTCTGTTACAAACAGTTTTGACATTTCGGTTTTAGGAAAGTAAAAGAGGAACCAACACACACCAACAGTTTGCACTTACTTTCTTCATCTATTTTCAACTCTTCATTATTTTTGATCTTCTCTGCAATCTCTTTTTCATTAAAGCCTTTACTTGCCAAAAATTTGATTTTATATTCATCCCAGGACACATGGCCTGTAAGAAAGAGCCGTTATATCAGACGTGACACAGTGTGCTTAGATTATGAACTTTTGGTCTCATTACTTAAAACAGTATGTGCTAAAATCCTCTGGTTCAGCGCTATCACCATCACACTGAGCTTTATGAACGGCAATATGAAAACTATCACCTGATTCACTTTTATGTTTCTTTAGAGCAGACAGACCTTGTGAAAATAACCTCTTGATGTCACCATCCTCACGCCAGCCCTGGCAGAGCCGCTTGTGACAATTTCCTATGACCGCAAGTGAAATAACGTAGCAGTCAGCACAGAACAACACTGACTGGAGCACATTACTTCTTTGCTCTGCTGTCTTCTGTACAGATCAAAACCGTTGTGATTACATGCAGCCTAAAGGAAGTTGGATTTTGTCACAGCACATCTGAAGCGCAGCCAGTAGCTTTGGCTACCAGCAACTGACTTAAGATGTCAGCAGGAGATGGAGGAATCGTTCATCTTACCATCGCCATCAGGGTCCACAGCTCGGAAGTGCATTTTATTCTCTTCCACAGCTTCCTGGAAATGTTCATCTGTCTTTTCCATGATCCAGCGCTGCATCTCTTTCGCACCTATCTTTTTATCATTATTTATATCCACCCTACAGATAAACAGCAAACAAGATTTAGATTTGTGGACTGGAGGGGGAGGTGTGGTATATTTTTCGTTTCTAAATTAATTACTTTATTCTACAATAACAAACATAGGTTGCCACAGAAAAGAGAATATTTATAACCCTCTGAGAAGTTGTACATTCTTTGAACTACAGAGCAAACAAGTAGCAAGTTAGCTGTTTAGTTCATAATTGAAGTAACTACAACATCTAGGTTACTACTCAGTAAAAAACATCCAGCCAGGCTTCACTTTGCTGTAAATTAACTCACCTCAGTATTATGTTTTTGAGTAAATTTTTAAAGTCAAGGAAACCACAAATCTATCACTCATGGCATACTGGCTCATTTCCTATTGTCAACTGCCAGCTGCTGCAGACTTTCACTGCTTTGAAAAAATTTCTTCTCTAACATTCTGTCAAACAATTAACTCCCTCTCAATGTATCTTTCCAAGTCCCTTTTACCTTGATCTTCCAAGATCTCTGAAGTTTACTGATGAGCTGCCTCCCTGTGTCTGCCTAGATCACATCGTAACTGTCGTGACCATAAAAATAATGAAAATATAACGTGAATAACCTCAGTGCAAGGACTTTCAAACTACTTAATACTTTGACTGTAGTACCTGTAAGTAAAAAAAAAAAAAACAAAAACCAAACCAAACCAAGTTTCCTCTGTTACACCTTTGCTGGTTTAACCCCAGATGGCAATAAACATCACACTGCCGCTCACTCACTCCTCCTTGCAGTGGGATGGAGGAGAAAATTGGAGGAAAAAGGTAAAACAACTCATGGGTTGAGATAAGAACAGTTTAATGACTGAAATAAAATAGAATACTAATACTACTACTAATAAATTGTAATGAAAGGGAAAACAACAACAAAATAAGACAAAACCCAAGAAAAACAAGTGATACGACTGCTCACCACCCGCCGACCAACACCCAGCCAGTCCTCGAGCAGCAACAGCCCCCCTCCGGCCAACTCCCCTAGCTTATATACTGAGTGTGACGCTTTATGGTATGGAATATCCCTCTGGCCAGTTTGGGTCAGCTCTCCCGGCTGTGTCTCCTCCCAGCTCCTTGCAGAGAAGAAGCCAGGAAGGCAGGGGCAGGATGAGTAGCTAAAAAATCCTTGGTTTAAGGTAAACATTGCTTGGCAACAGCTAAAACATCAGTGTGAGTAATGAAAACATTATTCTCAGCACAAATCCAAAACACAGCCTCATAGTAGCTATTATGAAGAAAATTAACTCTATCCCAGCCAAAACCAGCACCACATCAATCTGTGGTAACACAGATTTTAATAGCTGATAGATTTTAATTCGTAACACACTGAAAGGTTCTGCACATACATTTGTCCTCCATCAGGTTTCTGAGCTGTCAGGCTCACTTTGCTTGGTCAAAGGATATGCTCGGACTCGGTGCTGCTGAGCTACAGAACTAAACTTCTTCTACCTGATTAAAATTATCAGTAAACATCCAATCTGACAATCCACTGTTCTCCTTAACGTACTACCAGTATTGCTCTATTGTATGAACATACACTGCCATTCCATCTATTCCATTAATGCTTATTTCATTAAAAATAAGTTAATATAAAAATTACACTTGAAGAACAAATACAAAAGCAGTAACATGCCAGTTTGAGGTTTTTTTGACCACATTATTAAGCATTAATTCAAACAAGATATGACAATACTTAAAACTGAAACGAAATCACTAACATTTAGGAGGCAAGATTCTATTTAAAGCATACCAAAACCACTCTTGTTAAATTAAAAAAAAAAAAAAGAAAAACACAACAACAAAAAACCCCATCTTGACTCTTGTTTTTTTATCTGTTTCTATCACTGTCTTAACAGTAATGAAGTGTTATAATTGAAACTCAAGCTATTAAATATGTGATTTGCCTTTAAATGTCACCTAAATGTTAAAAGCTTAAGGCAAACAACCACCCTAGCACCTGATCTTCTACCACACTTGGCTGTATTAATAAATGTGGTATTAGTGGTTTTAAATATTGTATCACATCTTTCCACATATATATTCATAAGCTCAGTATTTGCAACTTTTCAGTGTCAACAAGACCAGTAAAACAGTCGTGTTCCACTCGTGTCACCTTGCGCTTACCAGGTGAACAAATGCAGGGTTTGATATGGAATAGGTACTACCCAAAACGAGAAGGGAAAACAAGGCGTTTTCCCCCCAACATTTAACCTTCTAGTTTCCTTAGATCAAAGCTATCAAACTTCCTACTTCGAAGCTGTACTTTCCCTCTAAATCAAATCGTAACTAGGGAGAAAGATCCCGTTTATTGCTCTTCTAGCTCACAAAAGAACACTTTTCTTCTGTTACCACAGCTCACAAAAAGTCTCCCATGACTCAGATTTTCAGGAGCTAGCAGGCACCCACTGCACAAGGTGAGCTGAAATCCTCCCAGTGTCCACCAGCAGCACTTCTGCTTTCCAGAGGAATATTTACTACTGTATGAAAGTTAAGATACAGTTCTGCTGCAAGGTTACCATCTAAGGCGATATAAACAAAAGACTGCTTCCTTAGATAACTATCACATTCAGAATGGACTGCTGAAAATATTCCCACTAATAAGGACAAGCCTAGATAATTACGTGTTGCCAAACAACCTAATACTGGTAAGCCATGGAAAAGTGATTTTATAACACCAAATTCCTCTGAATGCTTTCTACGTTTCTCACCGGATCACCCGACAGAATGTAATTTTAAGTAAGCAGGAGTGAAGCTGATCTTGAATCCCATCGCTTTGAGCTTCCTAAGACAACCTCTTTCATACCACAGGCAGAAATAAAGGGAATTTTTTGAATGACAATTTACTAACCACCAGTTTAATGTTTCCAATAAACATATAGCAATCAAGATAACAAAACCTTCTAAACACAATATTTGTATGTGTTCTACCAATGAAGTGAGTGGTCTGAATAGCAGACACAGTGACACAGGATTCTGCTCCAAATGAAGAAGGCACTCTGCTTTACCTATTTGCTTTAGCTCCCTTTACTCAGTACACCAGAAAAAAAATCCAATGTTATTATTTTTTTTCCCCGTTAATGAAAAGTTTACAGAAAAAAAAGCTTTGTTAAGCCATCTCATTTTATGTTGAGTATATGTGCATCCCCCAGTCATCAGCGTTAAGAGCACCAATGTAATTTAAGCTGTTCTAATAAAACTAATCCTCCACTGCAAATAAAGTCACTTCTGCCACCTAGAGCCTAAAAGAACTCACTGATTGTGATTGCCATTTCCACCTTTACTGACCTCTGAACATCTGACAGTTTATTAGCTGACACTAAGCCTTACCCAGCACAAGAAGTGCCTTATAAAAGGAAAAATGCTTTAATGTCTCAAAGTAAAGCTAATATTTTTACGCCAAGGAAAGAGATAGATGAAGTTTTCAGAAAGGTTACAAAAGAAAAACTTATTCTTTTTATTCTCATGCTTTATTTTCATTCTCTTTTTCTAAATTCTGAGGAGCTAAATGTTTTGTTAGCAACACTGCTAACGTAATGAAGAAAGCTATCATGTCAAATTCTGAATTCTTGGTATGTGCAGTTAGGTACAATCATTTTTAACCTTCCTGTGTTTCATTTGAAACACTCAATTTTAGACACTTAGCATCTACCAGAAAGTTTTATGAGCAAAGATCAACTGTTGGCTTGTTTTACCACCATGTTACCCCATTTTACCCCCTTTCTTCCCTTCTGGCTTTACTAATGTCTTTTCAGTGCTTTTCCCTCTGCAGTTTATTTGCAGAAGTCGCAGTAGAAACAAAACCAAAATCCATAAGAACATAAGACTAAACAATAAATAAGGAACTTAGATTGCCAATCGAAACCAAACTTACAGCAAAGCAACAGAGCATGCTACTGCTAGAACAAATCTGGAACAAACTCACACCCTCCCCGTTCATTGCAAGGGCATCACCCTACCACAACGGAAGCCCTTCCCGACCAATTCCTTGATCTGAGGTACAAGTGTGATTGATTATTCATCGAGTCAGGAAACCAGGAAAAAGTAACATTAATTTTCATACCTCGAGAGGCTGTGTAGATTTTGTCACATAGAAACAGTAAGCTTTGCCATAAATTTTACTAGACCACAGCACCACTGTGTACTGACAGTGACTCTCAACACACGCGTTCTCACTCCTGAGAACGGCTTATACAGGTACATTAATACCTCAACAACATGAACACAGTGCTTATAGAACGACGCTTTCCCCTTTAGCATTGCAATTTTTAAATACTGCAGAAAAATCTGCAAATTTTACTCTGAAGATCAGAGAAAGAGGCTGCACTGTTCTCAGCAATGTACATAACTTACTTTGAAAAGATGACCATGAGCTTCTTCCTGTTTTTTCTGGGTTCTGAATCTTCCTCAAATTCTTCCATGTCTTTTCCTAGAAAAACTTCTTGATGAAATTCTTTGTTAAGATGTCCATCCATCTCCATTTTGACCCCGTTCAAGTGATCTGGGGGCAGGATCTCATTCTCATCTTTACTGTCAGCTGGCTTTTCTTTGAGGGCCGAATTATTTGCAGGCCTTGCATAAACATCCATTAGAAGAAATATAAACAGAAGGGACAAATACAGAGATCCCAAACTGCAGAGAAAGGCCTGTCTTGACATCATTTTTTTCCCCTTTTTATTCCAGGTATTTGCTGATTAAATTACCGTGAATGAATTAAACGATCTAAAAACAAAAAGGAAAAAACATATACAAATTAAACTCTGGAACATTATGTCACTAGTAAAACATCTAAAAATCCAAAGAACCTACACACACACACGTGTTCGTGGTGAAAGAATAAAAAAGCCTTTTAAATAATAAATACACAATCTGTGTCAGTTTTCAGGCTGCACAATTGTAACCTCTCACAGAGGACATCCTTTAAATGGCCTCGTTCTGCTCTGAAAACTGTCTTTGGGTGTTACAGCACGAGCTGACCTGGCAGCTGAGACCCAGCGTCTGCTGACAAGCCATCCCAGTGCCCCAAGTGTTCCCTGTCCCAACGGGCAGCTCAGGCCCAGCCAGCACCGCGCTCCCACAAGCTGCAGAAAGCAGAAAGCGCCAGGACAGCCCAGCAGAGACCTCAACAGCCCCCCTCTGCAGAGAGGCTGAGAGACACAAGGATCTTTTTTGGGAAAGCGATGACTGAAGGGAACCACGATTACAAAAGCCACCCCATAAAGCTGAACTGGAAAGAGAGGAAACACCCCAGGGGAGGCCCTTCCACCACCTGCCGCCTGGGGCGCGTGACGATCGCGGCCACATCCGAGTTCACAGACCGCGGGGACAGCGAAAAGGACCCACAGCCCGAGGAGCACAAAACCCGCCAGAGCCTCGGCGGGGACTCCCAGACCGAGCGACGACGGCCAGCTCCTCACCACGGAGGGGGAGCCCGCCTGGGCCTGCCCGGCCCGGCCCCACGCACTCACCGAGAGCTCCGGGGCCCGGCGGGAAGGGGGACACAGCCTCC